CCATGAGGATTTGTTGATCCCTCCAAACCAGATCATGTTTGTAAGCTTGCTCAGTACCTGTATGGCCTTAAACAGACTCCGTGAGCATGGTTTGAACGACTTCGTTCCTTCCTTCTCTCCATAGGATTCCATGATTCCAAAGCAGACACCTCTCTATTCATCTACAAACATGGTACTGCTACTGCTTTTCTCCTAGTTTACGTGGATGATATCATAATCACTGGCTCTTCTTCACAGACAATCCAACACATTATCTCTTCTCTCCAACATGAATTTCCAGTAAAAGACCTTGGCCGGGTTTCCTACTTCCTTGGTCTCTAGGTCACTCAAACACCGTTGGGTCTTTTTCTTACTCAACAACAATATATACTTGATCTTCTTGATCAACTTGACATGAATGATGTCAAAGGCTGTTCAACGTCCATTACAGCAACCCAATTATCCAAAACGGATGGCACTCCTCTTCCTGATGGCACTCAATACCGAAGAACAATTGGTGCACTCCAATATGCCACTCTGACGCGCCAAGACATTGCGTTTACAATCAATAAATTCTGTCAATTTATGCATGCTCCGACAGATGCCCACTGGAAAGCAGTTAAGTGGGTGCTCAAATATCTAGTTCATGCCATCTCATGTGGCTTATACTTCACATCCGCTTCTTCCTGCCAGCTTCAATGTTTTACCGACAACGATTGGGGTGGGTGCCAAGATGATCGTCGCTCAACCAATGGCTATGCCATCTATATGGATTATAATCTCAGCTCCTGGGTCTTTTAAAAGCAACCAACAGTCGCCCGTTCATCAATTGAAAGTGAATACAAAGCATTGGCAAATGGCACCTCAGAACTTATTTAGCTTCAAGGCTTATTCTCTAAACTTGGTATCACTTCCTCAGGTCCTCCGATCTTCTGGTGTGATAACATTGGCACCATTTATCTCTCCTCCAACCCCGTCTTCCACGCCCACACTGAGCACATCGAGCTTGACTATCATTTTGTACGTGAGCGGGTCATTGCTGGTCAACTTCATATTCGCTTCTTCTCTACTGATGATCAGATTGGTGACATCTTCACCAAATCATTGCTTGCTGCTCAGTTCCTCTATTTCCGACAAAAGTTTCGTCTCCCTCCTCGGACAGCATTGACATGAGGGGTGGTGTTAGCAGATAACTCTTCTCTCCTCTCTTCTCTCTTGCTGATGTGTTAGCAGATAACTTCTCTCTCCGCTCTTCTCTCTTACTGATTGTACCACATCTTCTTATCTTTATTTTTTCATTTTGTGTATCTATATTATATATGTGGACAAACTGCATATACAATAACATAATAATTTTTCAGTCTTCACCAAAACCTTGACAAGTATGACTAGAAGTCTTGTCATTATATTACTATTGGGATTTTATGTTGCCTCTCAAGACTATGATACAGGTTTTAAGTCCTATGGTTGAGAGTGCATTAATCTATAAGTACTCTAGTAATTTCTTTCAAGAGAGTACAAGTATCTTCAGATACTTTTTCTAGTAGATTTGTTCTGCGTGAAGTAATTGAAATTGTGTGATGCAATCAAATCTCAGGTGCTATTTTTTTATAGAAAAAGAAAATATGTTAGAAGAAATGAGAAATACAACCTAAAATAGGATATCTATTCTCCAAATACTTACCAAGGTCAATTGTTTTTCTTTTCCTTTTTTCTTTGACATACATCAGATAAATAGTTTGAATATGATAATTCACAGGTGATTTATACATGTATTAGCTCTGAATGCTGGCTTCTTTTTGGTATATGCACCATGCAGGATTTGTTGGGTTTGGAAAAAGGAATCCAATAGTTTAGTCCAAGATAAAATATGCATCAATTTTTGTATGCTTTAAATATTATATGCACTATTCATTAATTCAATATCATTTCACGATACTTTTTTCTTGCCCCATCTCCTATCCTGCGTGTGTGTCTTTCAGTAAGGAAGTCAACCCTAATGCATGCACTGGCTGGTTTGAAAACCCTACGGGGTTTAGGTAGAAATATGCTTTGATTTTTTCCCTGTGGATATGATTTCAGTTAGCCTACTAATTCACATTTGTATGGGCATCAAATTGGGTGACACAGG